TGGCTGATTCTGTGGCTTGATTCTTGTGGCTCTTCTTGTGATTCTTGTGGCTGATTCTGTGGATTCATCCACATTCAGCCAGATTCCGGAGGGCTAGAGCGTCCAAACTTTTATCACTACTTTCTAGCCAATAGGCTACAATACATTTTAAAGTGGATAAATCCTAATCAACTAGATGAAACTTGGCTGGACATAGAACAGGGGTGGGCAATCATGGTCCTCGAGGGCCGCAGACCTACATGTTTTACATTTTTCCCTGCTCCAACAAACTTGATTCAGTCACTAAACTGCCTCTTTTAAGTTCTGCAGTATCAAGGACCAAAACTAACATAATTAGAAATAAAAGTAGAAATAGATAAATGAACCTTTAAAGAAATAAATACATTTAAAATGCACCAAATAAATTAAAAAGGAGAACTTTACCTTATATTTTATAATTTAATTGACCTTCATATTTATTTTTCCAGCTTAGTTCCAAGAAATTATACATTTTAACACATAATTTATATTTTAATGTTTATATACTGTATATGTTACATAGTTTTTTCCTTTAACTTGTACATTTGTCTCTTGAACACTGAAATTGAATTATTTTTATAATTTTGTCCAACAAGTCTTTTTATTTCTGTGTTGCATGCTTGTGCTGCTGCAGTTTAGCTTAAAGTTTAGTTAAAAATAAATGCACAGGTAATGTTTTCCTCCTTGCCTTTGTTTCATACTAAACTTTAAACTTTTAGCTAAACTGAGGCACAGGCATGCAACACATAGAAATAAAGACTTGTTGGAAAAATATAAAAATAATTAAGTATAAACATTTAAGACACACAAGCATGTACAAGTAAAAGGAAAATAAAGACTTGTTGGAAAAATATAAAAATAATTAAGTATAAACATTTAAGACACAAATGCATGTACAAGTAAAAGGAAAAACAATATATATTTAAAAAACAGTAAAATTTAAATTATGTGTTCAAATATATAATTTATTGGAACTAACCTGTAAAAATAAATATGAAAGTCAATTAAAATATAAAACAGGAGATAAAGTTCTCCTTTTTTAATTGAGTTGGTCTGTTTAAGTGTATTTATTTAGTGGTTCATATAATTCTGCTTTTATTTCTAATGATGTCAGTGTTGGTCCTCCGTACCGCAGAAGCCTGATAATCATCAGATCAGGTGTGTTGGAGCAGAGGAACCAGTACAACATGCAGGGCTGCAGCCCACCAGGACCAGTATGGACCATGCCTGGTTTAATATCAAACTAAACAGCCGGAGGAAGAACTGCTGATGCAGCATCTTTCCAGGGTCAGATAAAAACCTACATTAAACTGTAATATCCCAAAATCTGTGACGGAGGAGGACTCGGCTGCAGCAGGGTTCCTACAGTTACAGTCAAGTTAAATTTAAGACTTTTTAAGACTTTTTAAAGCCACTTGAAATAAAACTTAATACCAACTTTACGATAAACATGAATAGAAAAAAAAACAGCAACAATTTTACCCAAAAGTTTATTTTAACATAAAACAACGAGCTGTTATACAAATGTGATAAATGATGGTTTTGGTTAGCAGGGATGGATAAAGAACCCACTGGTCCCCAACAAGACCCTGGTCTTTATCCAAACCCTCATGTCCCACAGATAAATAAAATAAATAAAATAAATGTTACCAATTATTTTAATATTTGAGATGAATTACCACCATCCTACCTCCAATGTGTTAACACTTTTAAGACTGATTTAAGACTTTTTAAGGATAATTAAGGCCTTATTTTTGGACTGATGAATTCAAGGCCTTTTAAAGACTTTTCAAGGATCTGCAGGAACCCTGTCCAGTTCTCCTCCATGGTTCTGGTCTTGTGTTCAGCACTGTGACAGCTTGTTGCAGGTCAGTCAGTTATTAATGCGTCAGGCCACTGTGGATCAGTGACCCGGTTCTGACCCGTCTTGGGACCAAGTCAAACGGATCAAACTCACCTTGAAGTTGCTGGAGTTGACCCAGGAGCTGGCGATGCCGTCCACCATCTTGTCCAGCGCCGTCTGGTCCTGCTCCAGGTCGGGGGACTTGTCCTTGTCCAGGATGTAGTGGATGAGGTCCTGGCCCACCTGCAGCCGGCGGCCCAGGTCCTTCTGCAGGACCTGGACCAGGCAGGACTCCATGCTGGGCTCCATCGGCCTCTGAGGTCCAGCCCCGGTGGTCCCCTCGTCCCGTCTGCACCGAAGCCTCGACGTTCACCGAGCCGAGGTTAACGAAGCCCTGACCCTCAGGACCCTCGGGACCGGCCCGGGTTCTGTGCCAGCTGCTAGCGGGTCAGCAGCTGAGCCCTCCGGACACACGCAGCGGGGCTTTGAGACCGACAGCAATGCAGCATGTGTGTGTGTCTGCACGGCAGCTGAAAKTTCAGTGTTTTCCTTCTGGCCTCAGAGGAGAGGGAGCCAAAACCACAGCCGAGGGCCGGGGCTGCCGGTTCTGATGAGCAAGGCAGCAGAATGTGGATGTATGGAGGAGTGTTAGTTTAAGGCTTCATGCTCCTGCACCGGCCCGGACTTGTCCTGGACCCGAGGAGAAACAGAAAAATCTATTAGAAATAGAGAAATCACATTGCTACAATGCTAGTGCTAATGCCTGTTGCTGAAAACTTTAGCTGCTGAAACTGAGCTGAAATGTTTAATAGCAAAAGTATTATTGTAAGTTCAGCTTGAAGAGCTGAAAGAAGTGAAAAGGGCGGAAAACAGAAAAAAGGAGCAAAATATAGCTGAAATAGCCTAAAAAAGCTAATAGCTAAAATAGCTGAATATAGCAGAAAGCACCTGTAAGAATAGCATAAATAACTCAAATTAGGAGAAAGAAGCACAAAAAAGTAGAAAGCAGGAGAATAGCAGAAGGAAGAAGAATTTTAGCTGAAATAGCAGAAAAATAAGCTAAAATTAGCAGAATGATAGCTAAAACAAGCAGAATGCTAGAATGGTAGCTAAAACAAGCAGAATGCTAGAATGATAGCTAACACAAGCAGAATGCTAGCTAAAACAAGCAGAATGCTAGAATGATAGCTAACACAAGCAGAATGCTAGAATGATAGCTAAAACAAGCAGAATGCTAGCTAAAACAAGCAGAACGGTAGCTAAAACAAGCAGAATGCTAGCTAAAACAAGCAGAATGCTAGCTAAAACAAGCAGAATGCTAGCTAAAACAAGCAGAACGGTAGCTAAAACAAGCAGAACGTAGCTAAAACAAGCAGAATGATAGCTAAAACAAGCAGAATGATAGAATGATAGCCAAATAAGCAGAACGGTAGCTAAAACAAGCAGAACGGTAGCTGAAATAAGCAAAACCAGAGCTAAAAGCTGCATAAGCTTATAGATTATAGATCAGGACTATTGGACTCAGCAGCTCCAGGGGCCASAGTTACTGCAGGTCAACAGCTGAAGGGCCCAACATCCAGCAAATAAACCAAGCAGTTTTACAAACATCTGTTACCTTTGAAATAGTTTATTTTGCTGCTTTTAATCATGAAAACAACATACAGAACACTATAAAAGTAGAGATTATTAAACTATAAAAAACAAAAAGAACACATTCTGCCTCATATTTAACACAAATAATATTTAACATCTCTGACTTGATACATTTTTAAACTAATTTTATTTTCACTTTCATAGTTTTATCTTCAGCTGTTTGTAGTTTTAACCGTCTTCAGTGTTCATATAAATGGTTTTTACCAGCTTGTAGCCAAGATTCTGACATTTCTGTAGATACCAAACATGTCTTTGTTTAACTAAAAGAACGGGSCGCCGGGTGAACAGCTCTGGTTTAAATCCTAAACAACACGCTCGAAAAACGATCAAATGAGTAAAAAGCAGAAAGCATTAGCTTCAGTGAGAGAACAGTAGCTAAAAGCTAACCGTAGCCTAAGAAAACACAAGCAGAGCTGAAGAGAACTCAATGTGGAAAATATCTGTAAATAAAGTTCAATATTTTAAAAAGCATTAAAGTCACAAAAATCACAGCAGCTGAATGTTTTGATGCAAAAACAGCTAAAAGAACAGAAATAGTTAGAGGGAAACTATAAACAGGAAAACTGATGTGATGCTGAGTTAGCATATATATATACAGTATATGTATGTATAATAACATGGTTTGGAGGTCAGATATGACAGGTGATGAAGCTGCTGTGTTGAACAACCTCAGGTGTTTACACGTCATGAGGTCATCAGCTGAAAGGAATGTGTCAACAACCTGAACCGTGACACTGTGGGGACAAAAAACTGATAAAAAGTAAAAACTTCATCCAGAAATCAAGATTTCTTTCTATTGCAAGGATTTTCTTATCAGGACATACAAACATTTGGTCCTAACCGGGTTTTTAAGGGACGTAAACAGAACCTCAGATAAACAGCTCAGGCCGTATTTCACCATGCTTCTGTTTGTTTAAACCAGAGCTGGATCTGGATCCAGATCCAGGTCCAGGTCCAGGTCCAGGTCCAGGTCCAGGTCCGGCAGCAGAAACTCAGTGGTTGATTTGTTTCAGCTCGTGGTTCTGCCCCTCAGTTCTGTTCTTTTGGACCAGATCAGCTGCCCGGGTTGGGGATCACGGTTCTGCTGGACCCAGTTTGGTTCAGCTGTCAGACAGGTGGACTCACATTTGACTGGAGAACAATCTCAGCCCAAACCATCATCCCTCCACCACCGTGCTGACAGCCAGCAGAGTCTGCTGCAGTGCATTCTGGGTAAAAACAGCCTGTTGTTTAATCAGATTAATGTGCTTTTATAAAAGAGATGACACTTTATCCTAAGAAATCCTGTAAAAACAGCTGATTTATCAACCACTGCTGCAGTATTCTGCTTGTTTTTCCTTAAATCCGCACAGACAGATCATTACATCACGTGTTGTTTGTCCATCTGAGCCTGAAATGTTCAGAAACACAGCAGGTTATTTTATTTATGTCCTGCAGCGTAAAGAAACCCACTAAAACCAGCCCGGCTCTGCCCGCTTTGTGCAGGCTTAGCTCCAGTTAGCAGTCTGCCCCGACAGGACCAGGACCAGATCCTGGTTCCGTTCTTTATGGATGCACACAAACAAAACCTCCCGTTTAATTGTATGAAACTCTAACCCGGGCAGCCAGACGTCCAGCCTGCAGCAGGGCCAGGAGGAGGAATCGAGCTAAAGCTAGCAAAGCCTCCCAACAAAACGTCAGCTCCGAGCGGCACAAAAGAGCCAAGAAGGCGGAGACTCCGGGCTTCAACCTCCACCTTTACACTCACCATTTCCCGCCGCACACCGTCCTGACACGTATCGGTTTTTATATTAGTGTTAAATACTCCTCCCGCGGCCCTGGAACCCCTCCTGTCCGTCTTTCTTGTCACCGCTCTCCGTCTCTTTCCACCCGGAATGCCGCTGCTGCCTGAAGGACAAGAACGGGGATGGTCGTGCGCATGCGCAGAAGATCCAGGGATGATGTTGGCACTCGGGAAGAACCGTCGCGTGGCTGGAAGAACTGGAGAACCGCGCCTCTGGCGACACCTGCTGGTCACAGCTGGTCAGCGCACCTCCACCTCGTGTTTGTTAGCAAAATATCTCAAGAACAACACGATGGATTTTAACGAAACTTTCAGGAAGTGATGACTGGATGTTTATCTATATCTGTTCAAAATTTGGAGTCACTGTGACACAAAATGGCCGCCAAAGTTAATCCAAAGCAAACTCATTGAGCTAAAACCGCCCACACAACCACTTGTACTGCTACTCATTTACATTATTACTAATCTGAGCAATCACCTGCTCTGATATTACCATTGTAAACTTTTAAAATAATTCTGCTCTAATTGCACGTTTCTTTTCTGCACTAATAGTTAGTAGTAGTCTGAGATTTTGCACTGAAAATAGGGAAATTCGGAGTCCTAATGTCAGATTCTGATAGTCGACTGTCTATTTTTTTATTATTAGTAGTCATATCATTGCTAGAAAGCTTTTAATTTCATTTTTGTGCACTATTAGTTTGTAAAGTAATTGTATAAACCTCTATTGATGCTGCTGTGACACCAGACTTTCCCCTCGGTGGGAAAATAGTCTATTTTATTCTAATCTATTCTTAGAATTTTGATATTGCTGCTAAAACTTCAATGTTTTTTAAATCAAAATGCATTTTTAATTAAAATTCGATCATGAAAAGAGAMATGCTTGACCTTTATTTTATTCTCGTGCTTCTTCTCTGCAGAGCATCGTGCCTACACCTCTTCAGCTTCTCTTCCATCTGCTCCCAGATGTTATATTTTCTCAATTAAACACATTGTTATTAAAAAAACAGCTCAACAACAAATTTATTTTAATAATAAGGTTATTATTATCAGACAGCTGACCAAGTCAGGTCTGCTCTTAAAGCAGAGCAATATTTATTTTCTAGTTTTACATCAGGGATGAAAACTATTCAGGAAAATTTGTTAAAGATCTTTAAAAACACTCAGATTAAAGATGCTGTACAGGAAAAACAACATTTACAGTGAAATCAAGAGATTTCTGAGTTCTGGAGGCACATTTCAGTCCAACCCTGAGGACATTCAGTGTGTCCCCGTGTCCTCCTCAGAGCTGTCCTCAGAGCTGTCCTCGTCCACTACGCAGTCTTCRTCCTGCTCGACTTTGGGCATGTTGATGATGATCTCATTATCGTCTTCGTCGTTTGCAGCCGTGCTCTTCCTCCTCTCCAGGAAGGTGGGGGTGCAGACAGGTGTGGGGTCCTGCAGAGGGACAGAACGGATCATTACCTGGTTCTGACAGGTTCTGACTTGTTCTGCAGACCAGGTTTTATCACTACGCTGGTCATCCTGAGCAAACATTTTCCTCTTTCATAAGACGGCTCAGTCCAGGACTGAGGCGTGTGGAGACTGAGCCCGAGCTGCGAGCATCAGAGACCCACTTGTGAAAAAAGCAACCTGTGGGTCAGCGCCAGAAATGATAATGAGCTGATGACATCATCAGTGAGCGACACTCTGATCTGATTTATTACAGAGGAAATATTAAAAATATCAACCAGAGTTTCTCCTGTGGTTTCATGATTGACCCGGGGGGATAAAGAGATTTCACAGATTTGACTCAGAGAAACAGGAAGTGGTGCTACCTCGCTGCAGGTCGACTCGTTTATGACACCAGAGGACGACTTCTTCTTCTGAGGCACCTGAGCCGCCTGGAAAATCAAATTAAAAACATGAAAACAGCAGCAGGACAACTTTTACTTCAAGTTTATAGCTTTAAAATCCTCTCATAGTATTAAAATTAGGGCTGTCAAATAATTAAAAATTTAATCTATTAATTCCAAGGTAGCTGTGAATTAATCATGATTAATCTTAAACTTAATATAAAACTTTATTGCATATTGGTAAAATAAATTACTTATTGTCTTTATTTTGAAAAAAATTGGTGCTTAAGAAACACATACAACAAAACATGAAAATATCACCTTGACTGCACAAAAACAACAAAAATCAGGACCTAAAACTGCTCCAAACATATTTGAGTCAATTAAATTTTGTGCAGAATAATGAGGTTAAATCAAGAATTCAATGATTTTCATTCTAAATGAGTTCTACATGAGGAATGAAAGATAGATACTAAAGTCACAGCTGTCAGCAAAACATAAATAAATAAAATAAGCCATAAGACAAAAAGAAAWAAAACTGTACATAATGTGCTACACATGGAGTCTTTTTAATTTATTTAACCTTTATTTATGCAGATAAACTGTTTGAGAACACTTCTCATTTACAAACATGACCTGACACTGAGTGTATGTAATACACAAACCTACACATTCAGCCAGAGTGATTGTAAATTTTAATCGTGATTAAATTTTTTAATCTACGCCCGGCACTAAAATTAATGAGAGTTAACTCGATTAATTTCACAGGCCTAATAAAAACAAAATAAAGCTGTGATTTTATTGTTGTAAAAGTCTGGAGTCAGTCCTGCTTTATTTTGACTTGAAACAGTCACTTTGTTTCTTTTATTCTCTTCAGCTAAAGTTCAGATCCTGCAGAAAATCCTGCAGCAAAGCCAGAAATATTTAAACGTCTACTTTCTGCAGCAACAAGTGCCTTCAGGTGGTCTGTGAGTGAAACTGGAAACACGTACGAATCCCGGGAAGTCGTAGTCGACGCCCTGCGCTGCCAGCCTCTTGCGGAGCTTCGACTCTTTGCGCAGGAGCCTCTCGGTCATGGCTGTGAGCTGCTGCTGGGAGCGCTGCTTGTTGTAGCGGGCCACGGCCGGGTTCGACGGCTTCTTGAACACGGTCTGAGCTCCCACGAACATCTTCTCGTGGACCTTCTCCGGCGGGATGAGCTGACCTGGAAACAGGAGGAACAACGGATGTGACGCGTGTGAACAAACACACGTGGGGCTGTCGTGCAGCTGGACACTCACACTTGATGAGTCTCTCTCCCATCAGGTAATTATTCATGGTTTCTGCCACGATCTGAGCAACGTCTTCACATTCAAACTCTACGAAGGCGTAACCTTTGCTCCGACCGGTCTGCAGCAGCAGGAGAGAAGTTAAAAACACCTTAAAGGATCCAGGATTACTTCTAACATTTGAATTTATTTGATAAAAATTTAGTTTAACTGTAAAATACTGTTTAGTTTTAATCATTTTTAAACTAAAAGTTTAAAAATACATTACACGGACGGAGCCATTTGCCTGGCGTTTGTCGGAGCATGGGTTTTATCGTGCTGCCAGCAGCTGAAGCAGGTGATAAGCTTAATGCTCCAGAATCATCTGGGCTCAGGTATCTGACCTCAGATGACTGAAACACCTGAGATCATTTTCAGTCTGAGCCCAGATTTAACGGTTTTTCACCTGCGATCACCTGAAAACGTTACCTTTTTGCTCCTGGAAAGCCGGAGGCGCAGAATCCTGCCGAACTGCTGGAAGTAAGAGCGGAGCTGCGGCTCGCACAGACCCAGAGGGAGGTGGCCGACGTAAATCACCCCCGGAGACAAGCGGCTGTCCTGGGTAGAGACAGGACAACAAGAGGGCGTTACGTCACGGAGCAAGAGATTTAAACCATCAGGTTGTAAGAAATACGTGTTTAATATCGGCTGAAGCCAGATGAAAACACAAATGTTAAATAAATTGATCTGTGATAGGAATAAATGTCATAAAACACCAGAATTCTGGAAGTGAGTGAGGTTTATTTGTCACCGGGCTGACAAGCCAAACCACACTGAATGAAAAACAGGAAGTTCATGTTTTTATACACGATTCTTCAATGCCTGAGTTCGCCCCCTGCTGACCTACGGCTGAATCACAGGCGTTCATACAAAGACCTCAAACTAATGTTTTAAAACAGTTCACTTATGTGTTGTTATAATTCTGACATGTATCTACTCTATTTCAATTAACACATAATCGATCAAACATTATAAAAGTATTAAAATAAGGAAAACCCTAATACTCTGGTGTTGTTTTCTAACATGAGTACTAATCTATAAATAACTATAAATTTCTTCAAGGTCGTCACACAAACATTTGTTCCTCTTCATGAGACAGACCCTCCTGCTGCCCCTGGGTCCAAACCAGAACCACACGGACCACTTTGACCCAAGAGTTTCTGGAAGGCCATCACAAAAACTACAATTACTATTTGTCTCTTTTCAATCGGACCATTAGAGGGGTCAATTTTATGAAAAATTTTAAATGACAGTTCCTTCACTTTATTTACAATTAAATATCTATGAGGATCATCCAGACGACTTCCCAGTCGATGGATAAAACAGATTTATTTATTTATTTTAACATATTTTAAAGAAATTTTCTTTACATTGGGAAAATGTTTTATTTTGTTTTTCTAGATTCCCCAGAAA